ATCATTGTATAACTGAAACCCAAGCACAAAAATTTGTAAGTCTACAACTGTACCTCATGGTGTTTCACTAATAAAATTTTTAAAAAATTCATTCTAATTCATGGTAGGAATTTAATCATCCAGAGTGGTTTACTTTTCTGAACTTTTGTATCTGTTCCTTCTTATCTTGGCCTCACAGATATCCTTATCATTTCAGACCAGTGCTCCAGGGTAAGACTCTCACAATAGCTTGTCACATCATATTGCTTATCATCGGTCTTTTTAATTATCTCTTTGTTTGGGGGGGGGCACATACTCAGTGATGTTCCTGGCTCTGCATTCAGAACTACTCTTAGCAGTATGGGATGCAGGGAATAGAATCCAGGCTGGAAGTGTTCAAGGCAAGAGCCCTACCTGCATGCAAGGCAAGAGCATGTAAGACCTCCCCAGTCCTCTGCTTATTATCAGTTTTTCATACTGATCTTTTTCTCTATCTATTTGACTGCTCACCACACAAACTAAAACTATTAGCTTTTTAACAATACCAGCATCCCTCTATCCTAGCAAGCATACCAAAGTACTTCCTGGAAAGACAGGCCCAATTCTGCAACTGTGGAATACTGTGCATTCAAAAACTTATTTTCAATGACAGAACAGCACAGGCTCAAAGAAATCTAAGAACTGAGGAAAATAATTCTTCCCCCCTTTAATTGTTAAAAAAACAAAATAAAACTCTTTAATTATGGTAGGTAATATATTACATGACAGACGCTCCACAAATAAACTGAACAAATTAACAAGTGGCCTCACTGACTTCTATTTTATTATAAATATATGAAAAAGATTTTGTGAGATCATTTGGTAAAATAAGCACCATTCGGCAAATTATTTCTATAAGAAAGTAAGTTTGGGAACTTTAATTATTTCAATAAAACTTACTTGAATATAATACACATGAACAGAAGATATCAAAGACAATGTGAATTAAAACTAAGGTGTTACACAATACACTACATAGAAATAATGGAATCCAAATTAGGTTTCTAATGACTGGCAAACAGCAAACCAAGATTCAGCAATATGCAAAAAGAAACAATAGCTATAAGAATTTATGATAATTTTTTAAAGACAATCTCTGTTTATAGATTTTCAAGGCACTATTATAAAAGAACGACAAGAAATCACTATGTCTTCAACTATCATTCTACATTTATGTAATCATTTTTCTCTAAAGTTTTTCATTTTAAATTGGGAATTTTTTTTTTTTTAAGTTTCTACAAAATAAGTTACATTCAGTTCCAACAGATGGTGATGCCATGGAAATTCATAAGAGCAGCTGCCAAATAGGATCAGTATGTTGGTGAGGAGAAAAACTGAAGAAAAAGGGGGAAAAAAAGGACAGCAGATATTCCTGAGATAAGTTCTCTGTTCTTAATACTTTCCATGTATCCAGAAAAAATAGTTAACTATTTCACACAATCTTAAAAATGAAAAACACATCCAGAGGCCAAAGAGATAGTGTAGGGGTTAAGACACTTGACTTGCACACTGATTAACCCAAGGTTTGATCCCCAGCATGGCATATGGGCCCCTGAACAGAGTCAGGAGTGGACTACTGAGCAGTCCCAGCTGTAGCCCAATTCCCCCTGCACCACTCCCGGCAAAGAAACACATCCACTCAAAACAAACAAAAAACCCCCCAAAAAACCCCCCCAAAAAACAGATCAATAACAACTTGGCTTCATCCTCTATGAACAGTCATCCAACCCAATTAGTTTCTTCCATGTTACATGAAACATAAACTTCAAGATAGGAACAAAACGCTGAAATTACTTAAAAAAAAAAAATCTGGGCAAATTAAACTACCAAACCTTCAAACCATTAGGCAGATGGGAAGGCAGCACACCACTTATCCTTTCCTCTACCGCTCCATTTCCCACTTCCAACAACTCCTATACCCTGTTCCTATTACTTTCCTATATTCTAGGCAAAGACTGAAATCAAAATTTCACAATATGAGATAAAGTATGCAAAGAGGATGGCATGAGTCCTGCCTTCTCTACCTCATTTTAAACATGATACTCTCAGAGCCTCAGCTTCCTTATAAGCAGAACAGAGCCACCATATTTTTTCTCAAAGGTTGTTCTAAGAATTAAGATAAATGAGTCTGAGATGTAAAGATGTATAAGCACACTTCTTGGCAGAGTAAACTAGATAAAAAGAGCTTCCCAGAAAGCTACCGAGAGTATCTCGCCCACATGGCAGAGCCTGGCAAGCTCACCATGATGTATTTGATATGCCAAACACAGTAACAACAAAGTCTCCAATGGAGACGTTGCTGGGCCCACTCTATCAAATTGATGAACAACGGGAGGACAGTGACAGGACAGCGACCAGTCTAATAAGTAACAAGAATGAATCACAAAGATCTGAGAATAAGCTACAGTAACTTACACAGAGAGTATATCCATTCAGAAAATATTTAATGGTGTTTTAAAATATTTTGATGTAAACAGGAAAAAAATAAAAAGCAAAAAAGATAATGTATTCCACCATCCTATAATACACATGTCCACATATACACAAATCCTCAACTGTTTCATAGTATCTTCATAATGTAACCCTCCCTTTTTAGCTTCACATCATTTATGCTTCCATGTATGTAACTCTAACTTAAAGTATATAATAGTCAACTTGAATCAAACTATTCCTTTAATCTGATCACTTTAATTCTTCATCCCTGTTCTATCCACTACTGATTTGAATATAATACACATGGACAGAAGATATCAAGGACAATGTGAATTAAAAATGAGGTGTATGTAATATAAAACTACCTGCAAATAATAGAATCCAAAATAGATTTCTAATAACAAAAAAACAGAAAAATAATTAGCACTATGCATCAACAATAGCTATAAAAATTTAAGATAATTTCTGACCTTCCCCAGCAGAATATCCACCATATATATATATATATATTCCCAATGCCTATCAGCTACACTTATATTTAGATCACTTATCTCATTCCAATTAGTTCTTTCCCAGTCATCTTCCATCTTATTTGTTAAGCTTACATCATTTAAGATCAGTGGCCATCTAAATGCATAGAAACACCAGAAAAATGAAAGAGATATTGTTGTCTACAGCATAACTTGAGATGTGTACTTTCGCTTTCTCCCCCCCCCCCCCCCATTTATTGAGATAAAATTTATTTATTTTTGCTTTTTGGGTCACACCTGGCGATGCACAGGGGTTACTCCTGGCTTTGCACTCAGGAATGACTCCTGGCGGATCTCAGGGGACCATATGGGATGCTGGGGATTAAACCCGGGTCAGCTGTGTGCGAGGCAAATGCCCTACCTGCTGTGCCATCACTCCAGCCCCCTGAAATAAAATTTAAGAAGGGATGGAGGGAGGGAGAGAAAAGCCAGAAAGATTGAATAGTAGGGAAGGCCTATCTTTGAGAACTGTTTATGAGGTTTCCTAGCCCAAGAAACATGATTTTAAAGAAGGAAACAGCCTAAAGCAAAGAGGTTATTACCTCATTTACTACTAGATTTGGAAAGCAAATTTTTGTCCATAAGTTTCATGACTTCAAAATTTATTAATATATTTCTCTACAAAAATCATACTCTTTTCTACTTCTGAAGACTAGTCTCATAGAAGAGTATGACTTAATGTTAAAAAAAAACCCACTTATCCTTCTAATATTATTCTTGTGGTTAGTTAAGCATCTGAAAACAAAATAATGTGGCACACCAAAGCAATATACAATGAACTTGAACATTTTGGTTTTGTCTTTGAAGTGTATGCTAAGAGAGTTCCTATAAGTATAGGCCTGTTTAGAATTTTTATTTTTTCTTTGGTTTTTGAGCCATACCCTGCTGTGCTGAGGGCTTAGTCCTAGCTCTGTGCTCAGGGATCACTCCTGGTTGTGCTCAGGGGGCCATAGCATACAAGCATCTTACTTGATATACTATCCCTCTAGCTCCAAGCTCAAGAGTTCTTTCTTAACCGTGTTTTCCACAGAATAAATTAATTTATATTAAAAAAACTAAAATATCTGATGTGCAGAAATTTACCAAGAGGAGTTCAAGCTGCAAATAAACAGAAAAATCTCACATTTTCCCAAATAAGAATAAAATCAAGGACTTGGGATGTTGCCCAGCAGTAGGATACCTGAGTTCAACTCCCAGTACCACACTAACAGAATTAATTAAAAAATGAATCAAGGGGGCAGAGAGATAGCTGCATACATGGTTTGCATGTAGGAGACATGGATTTGATTCTTAGCACCACATGGTTCCCTGAGCACCATTAGGAGTGACCCCTAAGACAGACCCAGGAATAGTTTATAAGTACCATCAGATGTGGCCCTTAAAATCAAACCAATAAACAGGAAAAAGGAATAAAATCAAGAATGTACTCTTCATTTTCTTCTAGCTAGTCTCTATGATAGAAAAATAATCCTTAAGATCGAGTAAGAGTTGAGCCATAGATGTTAACTCAATAGTAGAGCACTTATCTTGCATGTGAGTCGCTAGATTCTATTCCTGACACCACAAAAAGAAAAAAAAAAGCAAACAATAAAAATCACTTTAAAGTAGTTGAAAACTGTGTAATTCATTTTTTTGGGAAAACTGTATAATTCATTTTTTTCAGTATTAGATAAGACAAAAAAATCCAAAATAATTTATTAAAATTTTCCTGAATTTGGAAATGGAAGTCACTAAGAAGTTTTTATACTATAGTTGAAGACAATCTAATTTCAAACTTATTTTCTTGTTTTATATTACAATTCACAATCAAAAGTATGCACTTCAGAGGCTAGAGAGATAGTAGAGGTTAAGGCAACTGGTCGTGCATGTAGCTGACACCAGGTTAGTCTCCAGTCTCCAGTACTACACAAGGTTCCTTGAGCATCCCAGGATGACCCCTGGGCACAGAGCCACACCCACCGACCTCCCCCCAAAAATATGCACTTTAAATAAACTAATCTTGCTTACATAAATACTCACCATCTGTATGGGTTTCTTGTGGAGATCTCGTTCAGTTACCAACTTTTCCTGGTCAGTGACATAAAGACCCTTCTGTGCTAGAGCCTGGATTACAGCATCATGGCCTAAGAGGGGTTTTGCTGCATCACTCTTGAGAATGAGACTCCCAGCACGACAGTACAGTTCAGCCGACAGGAGCAAATTAACAACAGGTGGCTTGATGTGCTCTTGGTCATACTGATCAATGTAAAATGGCTCTCGAAGTTCCTCTGGCACATTGTCTATAAAGATGAGGAGTAAAATTCCGGTAAGATTTTAATAAATGAAAACATAATTTACTTAATTATTTACAAGTTCTGATTCCTTCTAAAATTAACAATAACCTTTAAATAAAAAGATGATTTATTAGACTTTGGTAAATAATGTGAAATGAGAGATGAAAATTTACAAGGCTGGAGAGATAGTATGGCAAGTGCAGTGCTTGCCTTGCTTGAGGCTGGTTTAGATCCTCTGAGCCCACCAGAAGTGATCCCTGAGTATAAAGTCAGGAGTAACCCCAGAACACTGCGAACTGTGGCCCAAAAAACAAACAAAAATTTCCCTTTCAGAAGTCACTGTTCTGAGTATATTCTAAAAAGAGACTATAAAGCAAACAAGGGGAAAGTTGAGTTCAGTATTCCCTTGTGCATCTTAGAACACAGGGAATTAACTAGAAGAATCTGAAAAACTCTACTCAGTGAACACCCTCACATTTGACAATCAACAAGAAATACTAGATAATAACTATTTCAGGAAATTGCTAGGCTTCGCCACCAGAGAATATATAAATCATTTGCCCACAGATTTATTCTTAGGTGCAATACAGAAACTACCTAGCTTACTCTGTTTCTCCTGCCTTATAACCTGTCTCTTATTTTCTGTCTAGCCCCTGTTCAGATGAGAGTCATAGGTTTCATTTAGGGAATAGCTAAATTCCTTGCATTAAGAAACCACTGCTATTTCCAGGCAAGACATTAAGTGGGTAGGTTACTTGCCTTGCATGCAGACACGCCCAGTTCAAATTGCACATGGTCCCATCTAACCAAGCACAGACAGGAGTGACCCCTGAGCCCAAAACCAGGAGTAAGTCCTGCGCATCATCAGGTGCTCACCATCCAAAAGAAAGCAAGCAAACAAACAAAAAACCTACTAGTATTTTTCATCTTCCTCATGGAAGAAGACCATACCCCATCCTAATTCAAAAGAGTTCCAATGCACATCCCACCGATCCATTCAAGAGAGACATAGAAATGTAGTACTTTACAAACAGGACATGAAAATAAACCTAAATTGCCTTTGGGAAAAGTTTCCTATCTGCAAGTCACTGCCTTTGAACAATGTCAGGCCTCACTCTCCCAATGCCTGCTTCCAAGTCAACCTTAGGAAACATCTCCACATCTGATGGCAGGAAGATTACTAAAACAAAATGCTTCTCACAGTCTTACAATTCTTTTCATTTGTGTTTATGCCACATCCCAGTGGTGCTCAGTGGGGCTCAGCTAACAAATGGGGTACCAGGGACTGAAACCAGGTTGGCTGTGTGCAAAGCTATTAATCATACTCACTGTACTTATAGTTCCAGCTACTGTCTTACAAATGTTTTGACCTTTTCTACCCTGTATTTCTTCTTCCTCCATACTAGTCAGTACCTAGACTATGTTCTTTTTATTAAATCCAGGATAAGAATAAGGAGGGAGGGGCATCTAAAAAGTTAATAAAGAGCTGTACTCATAAAACCTGACAGCTCTGGCCTTCGGACTTGCTCACCTTCTTTGAAAAGTGAAGTTTTCAGGGGCTGGAGTGATAGCACAGTAAGTAGGGTGTTTGCCTTGCAAGTGGCCCGACCCAGGTTCGATTCCCAGCAACCCATATGGTCCCCCAAGCATGGCCAGGATTAATTCCTGAATGCATGAACCAGGAGTAACCCCTGTGCATTGCTGAGTGTGACCCAAAAAGCGAAAAAAAAAAAAAAAAAGGCGAAGTTTTCAGGGCAGCCATTATCCCTGATTTCAGGACTCTCCGACAAAGGAAGGTTAAGAAGTTAGAAGGTCTTGATATAGTTTCAATGAGATCTCAATACCATTACAGTGGGAGTGGAAAGGTAAAGTGCCAGGTGAATTTAGCCAGTCACTTTAAATCTCCCTCGTCAAAATAGACAATGACACGGCAAGGGGTGGGAAATGGCAGCAAATAAAAGGGAGAAAGTAGGGGGTGGGACTCTCCCTCCCTCTCTCCTTTAAAGGGCAAACCAGACTCCTCTCTGGAAAGAAAGATGGCGGCCTCACGGGAGCCTTGTGGACAGCAGGTTTGAGCCGGGGGCGGGGGGTGGCAGGGGCCTCATGGGAAGGGAGGCGTTCTGGGCCGTCCTTCACGCCCGACTGAGGTCACCAGCTGCCCCCCACGAGCGGCTCTCTGGCACGGCCACGACTCCAGAGCACAGAAACCAATCTCTTAACTATCTAACTTTTAATAGAAATACTTCCAGGGTTAATAAGTAAAACAGCAGAAATCCAAAACCGCGCGGCTGCTATCGCGGCCGTGCGACATCATTTTATTCTTAAACCAAGCTATAGAAAGCAAATCATTTTGCAACGCTGTTTCAGCATATCTGATTGGGGGTGGGGTCGTAAACTCTAAACAATAATTGTGCATCTTCTATCGAAACAATGTATCTAGTCAAAGTAGATAGAGTATTAACTAGAACTCATCTGCCTCACAGGAATTGGGAGGGGTGGGAGGTGGGGTTCTATTGGGGTTCACGGTTAAAAATAAGTATTGGTAAAGGGAAATGTGTTTGATACTTACATGACTGAGACCTAAACCCGAAAGCTCTGTAACTTTTCCCACAGTGATTCAATAAAGAAATAAACTATTAAAAAAAAAAAAAAGAAAAAGAAAGAAAGGGCAAACCAGGCAGTGAGTGCTCAGAGGCACTGCACATTCCTTGGGTCTGCTCTCAGCGGTATTTGGGGGGTGGGGGGGTATACAGTGCTAGAGACTGAATCAAAGGGGCTCCTGTACGCAGAACATGTGCACTAACCCGTTGAGCCATATGCCCAGTCCCCAAGTAGTATTCCTTAAAACAAGAGGCCGTTACCTATTAGCTAAAAAGGAAATGCCAGCAGTTCTACAGGATCAGAGTGACATTTTGAGGGTACTGTCTAGGGACAATGTGGAACTCAATATCGATGGTGGTAGAAGTCAGAGGCCCCAGTGGAAGGTGTGGTTTTGGAATGCTATACGCATAAAAGTCTATTATTAAACATATTATAAATTACAGAGCCTCCAATAAAATCAGAGATAAGATGACAGAGAATTTAGCCAGTCACTTTAAAGGACATGAAGTTGATAGCAGTAGTGAAAGCAGGAAGTAAGGGCAGAAGAATCTGCTAAAGACAAGCCCAAAAGATCCACGAATAGACCAAAGAGAGGAGCTGACAACTAATGAACAAGTCTGGTTACCTCGACAGTGTACAGTAAAGGAGAGAATCCATTCCCCTGAGTGGGGATGTGCATGACTCCATAGTGGAGAGCACCACTGAAGAAAGAAGTTATACATCCCAAGAGGGAATGTGGGAGAACAGGCCTAGAACGGAATATGTGTTACCTGGGAAACGGTGGTATAATTATCATAAAAAGGAAAAACAAAGGAAGCATGAATTCTAGAATCACAAACCCATGTTAAGTCTGACATGATAATATTTCAGCAATAACAACCAAGTTGGAGTGCAGAGATGTGGTTCAAATGTTAAGAGCACAGGTCTAGTACAAGAGAGTCCCTGAATTTGATTCCCAGGTCTATATACCCTGTTCCCTAACCCCCATAACTATCACATGTTACCAAGCATCAAAAACTAAAACGAGTGAGGGCAGAACATCATTGGGAAGAGCCATATTATTTAAAATAAAAACCAAAAACCTCTAAGTGGGAATACCCAAACAGCAGCTGTCCATACAGAACTCTCAAAAAAAAATATTTTTTGGACATATCAATTTGGGAGTTTGGTGACATCTAAAAATATGTTTACTTAATAATGAAAAACACTTACCTCACTTCATACGTTCATTAACCAGCAATGAGACAGCTTTAAACTTAACAGCTCTATGGGCCAGAGCAGCAACAGTATAGCAGGTAGGGTGCCTGCCTTGCATACAGCTAACCTGCGTTAGATCCCTGGCCCCACACATTGTCCCCTCAGCCTCACCAAAAGTGATCCCTGGGCACAGAGCCAGGAGTAAGCCCTGAGCATCACTAAGTGTGGCCCCAAGACCAAAACCAACAATAAAAATACTTAATACCACATATGATCCCCCAAGTACCACCAGGAGGCACTACTGAGCACAGAGCCAGGAATACTTAGCACAGAAAGGGGATGATCAAAAATAACAAGGAAAAAATAAATAAATAAACGAAAAATAAATAACAAGGAATAAAACAAACAAAAGTTTACTGCAAAGGAGACAGTCCAACACAGAGTCAATAGGAGGGAGCCTCCAAGTACTGCCAGGTATGGCCCCAAAACGCAAACACACACACAGGCTCTGCACTCAGGGATCATTCCTGGTAGGCTCAAGAGACCATCTGTGGTGCCAGGGATCAGACCCAGGTCAGATACTTGAAAGGTAAGTGACCTACCCACTGTACTATCTCTCTAGCACCAGTTGACAAAAGAAATTCTTTAAAAGATTTGCCAAGATCTCAAGGATTAAAAATGAAAGAGAAAGACATACAACTTTGACTATTTCCTTCCACTTTATTGAGGTATAACATTAGGCCTAAGATATAAAAGCTTAAAGTTTATTTATTTGTTTTTTGGGACCATACCTGGTGATGTACAGGGGCTTATTCTTGGCTCTACACTCCCTCAAGAGTCATTTCTTGTGGGGCAGGTGAGAGGATGGAACCTGGATCAGCTGTGTGTAAGTAAAGAGCCCTACCAGCTATACTCTCTCTGGAGACTTAATTAAAAAAAAAAAATTCCTAAAGCACAGTGGCAGAGGTTCTGACTTCCTAGTGGAGAGGCTTTGAAATAGTATTACAAGGTTGAACTAACAAAATCACTGTTAAAGCACACCATTTCAATACGAATAGAGAAAAAAGGATTTCTATATGAAAATTTATATTCTAAAACTAAAAAAGTAATCCTGGGGCTGGAGAGATAGCACAGCGGGTAGGGTGTTTGCCTTGCACGCAGCCAACCCGGGTTCGATTCCCTGCATCCCATATGGTCCCCTGAGCATT